ATGGGACCACAAAAACCGAATTTCATAGGGAGAATGGGACCACAAAAACCGAATTTCGTAGAGAGATTGGGACTACAAAAACCGAATTTAATGGAGAGAATTTGACCAAAAAACCGAATTTTATAGAGAGAATGGGACCACAAAAACCGAATTTTATGGAGAGAATTTGACCAAAAAAACCGAATTTCATGGAGAGAATGGGACAACAAAAGCCGAATTTCGTAGAGAGATTGGGACCACAAAAAACCGAATTTCATAGTGAGTATGGGACCACAAAAACCGAATTTCATAGAGAGAATGGGACTAAAGAAACCGAATTTTATAGAGAGAATAGGACCACAAAAACCGAATTTCATAGAGAGAATGGGACAACAAAAGCCGAATTTCGTAGAGAGATTGGGACCACAAAAAACCGAATTTCATAGAGAGAATGGGACCACAAAAACCGAATTTTATGGAGAGAATTTGACCAAAAAAACCGAATTTCGTAGAGAGATTGGGACCACAAAAAACCGAATTTTATAGAGAGAATGGGACCACAAAAAACCGAATTTTTTTAATTTTAATCCACATTGTACGACACGCCAATCGACAACCGGCAGGACTTATAAGAATAACCCATAACGGAGGCGCGCCATGGCTCATCGGAGCATGGCTCATCAGATGAAATTCGAGCAATTTCACATCGGCTACGGACTTCATGCTTTTTTCAACAAAAAAATTTTTTCAGTAACTGTCTGTTTTAAAGGTTGTGAATATGAAAGGGTGGTATGTATGCTATTGTGTACTGTGTGTTACTGTGGTCCGTTATGCAAATACATTACTGTCAGCCCTTGCAAATATTTTGCATCCTGTGTTGTGACCATTTCTTTGTAGTCCTTCATCGACAAACGTTAATGCGACGTCGATAAAAAAAGAGCTCTGTTTAAAACCACATTTCTCGCTTCCAACAAGACTGTAACTGTAACCTCATCTTTACTGGGCTCAATGCTAATGTGGGCTTGCCAGATCAATCCCGTTGTCGAGTGATTACTGATGGCACTGGTAGAGAGGAAACCAGCTGTGAGAAACGCAGATCAACGGCCGCCGGAAAGGAAAATCGTGGTTCTATCTGATCCGCTGTCCAAGTTTTGCGAATATCTCGGCATCGCTGTGGATGTTTCGCTGTTTTCCCACCTGTCCCATATAACGATCATAGTTGTTAAAATTAAATAGCAGCCAATTGTTAATGAAATTACCAGCCAATGAAGTTTTTCGAAAAGAGGTTTTTGTAAATCATCAATTGTATAGAGTGATTTTTTCTGTTCTCCCCTCTACCATTGTGGTTTGTTTCGATTAGCCATACATTCTTGCTTACTTGATACTTGAACGGCCCGTCCTCACTGGTTGTGCGGGCGCCAGCATAATCACTATTTTTCGGAGATTTGCTGGTCAAGGCGTTGTGGCTCGCTGGAATCTCGAGGTCAGCCTAGCCAAAGTCTGACCCAGGTCTTTATCTCCACAGACAGTCGTAGCCCTTGTGTAGCAGAGGGATATTTGCCACCATGCGACGTTGATACCTAGGCGGTGGTGGATCCTGGTATTGGTTTACTTTTAGCTAGGGTTTCTGATGGAAATTCCGGACTCCTTCTCAGCTTAGGAGTCCTTGCCAGGGGTTGAATCATTCTGCTTATCATCACAGCGTGACACCCAGGAACACCTCTCAGCCACGATGAGGCGGTAAACCGTTAGGAGGAAAGCAAAGACAGGTCTTCAAAAATGGCCATCTCTTGTGCTGAATAAAGCTGTTTCAAAAAATTGTGCCAGTATGTTAAGAATCTTTATTTTTTTATCTTACACGGCCCGTCATCACATCTACTGGTTGAATCATCCGCGGTCAGCGATGACAAGATTATCTGACAAATAAATTTATTTCCCATCAATTCGACTATTATCACAATAGATGCGATCAATCAATATTTACAAACGTAACAGCAGTACCCGTAGGAATATGTCCGAGACACTAACAAAGAAATACACATAGTTTCTCTAGCCAGTTAATACGAAAACAGTTAATACTAAAGGCAGTATAGTAGACGTTATCAGCCACCGAGTTGAAGACGCTTCTAGCGGCAGCTCGATGATTTCGCCACCAGGAAATCGTTCGATGACATTTTCGTCAAGGATTTTGGCCAGCGTGACGAAGTTCGTAGTCACAGCCTTACCCATGCCGCGATTGGTGATCGCCTGCACTTGAAGCGTGTACATTGTCGACGGAATCAGATGCTCGTAGTGAATCTAAAATCGCCCGGGCTAACGGATGAATCAGTGGGAAAATTTTTATGAATACAGAAAACCCATAAGAACTGAGGAAAACTACCTCTCGAATTTGTGGAGGCAGAATCGTGATATTCGTATCGTCGCGCATCGGTGACGATAAAGAGGTGCGATAACCGATTGTGGTATCGGCGTTTAATTCACGATAACGGACCCAATGGCAAGACACTGTAGCGTGAACAATGCAGGATAACGGTGTGGCCTGTGAAAGGCATGGAATCGAACCATGTGTTGGCGTCTCATCGCAGGATTTCGTGGAGAAGTTGCTGGTGATTATTGCCTAAGGAAGAAAGAATCAACAAAGGTATACAAAAATTCGAAAAATCCTACTAAGGAACTGGTTGTCCATAATGGTGAGGTTTCCTTTAAAACACTAATTTCTCGATGAAGAACTTTAATGAAGGACGAAGTTGACGCTAGAGGTCTTGAAAATTTTTGTTCAATGCCAACTAGAAAAGAATATAGAATCATGAGATATTCAAACTCAGACCCGATCTGTTCTTATTTCAAAAAGCTAAGTTTATTAAAAATTGACCTAAAGTAGAATCCATGAACTGTGACATGAACTAATACTTCCGACGTACTTTCTCAAGCCATGTGAAACTGCTGCTTATTTTCCTACGAGAAAAAAAACCTGCTGCGAATTCTATGCGAATGGATTTCTTTAGTTATAATTATTATAAAGTCGTTTATAATAAAAATTATCCAAAAATACGGTAACATGCCGTGGTGTCACCAGCGAAGGAGATCTCAAGTGAGTAGTCACAGTCAAAGGTGAGACCTTTAATGAACGTCGAGCAGTCACTGACGCGTATTCTATGAATACTGAAAACGATGCCTACTTGATAAAAGGTTATGGTGGTCGTTGTTGTATCAACCCTGAACAAGTGATTTTTTACTCACGATGTGTCTGAATGCTGATTTAGTTGGTATTCACGACATTCGCCTCGTTTCGCCGTAACTATAAACGTTTTCTTTTCCGGAGAACATGCTCTTGAATTTACCCAGCTGACTTTTGCCTGTAACAAACTTGTTACCTCATGTTTTGAAATTTTCAGCTTCTCACTTCATTTTAAAATATCCGGCTTGTTGTTGATTGGCCGTAGGAGGGTACCACGCTCTTTCATCATTACATACAAATCAGATTGGCTTGATAATCAATAGCGATCAACACAGGTGTGATAGAACGGACGATAGAACTCCTCTTGATTTTTCCAATTTTACAACGAGATTTTTTTGTGATTAGCAAACATGTCTCCTACCTGGAGATCACCATCAAAAAACGGTGTCAGGATGTCAACATTATTGTCGCCACCGACGTCTCCTCCATCATCGGATGTCATGGGTACGTCAAGATCGAATCCGGTTTCATCTGAAACTGAACTACATCGATAATTAGTTATTAATAAGACAAAGTTCAAAGCCTTGCACTTGTTCACCAGTCATTGCCTTGTGAAATAAAACCAAAGGTCAAAAATCATAGTCATCAGATATAGTAGAAGTTTCTAATACAGTGAAATGACATGAACCACACATGGCTCACAACTATTTGAATTTGTCTCCGCTTTCATATTCGTCTCCAGCTATGCTCATATATATATATATATATTGATTTATTTATAAATATTATTGTTGTGCTTCTGCTATTGTTGTTATTGTTTACCCTTAGCTTTTATTATTGCTGTGAAAGGCTGAAACAGAAACAGTCGCCGCATTTATAGTCTTGAAATTCACAGATTCATTCTATGATGAAAATTTTCCCACTGCGCTACGGGAACAAATAGATCTGGTCGACAAAAGCATCATGATTTTTATTCTAATTAGAGACTTTTTATTTGAAATGGGCTACTGCACGTCAAATTTTTCGTTTAAAATCAATCAATCATTATTTCTGCTTTGATTTCTTATTCTTCACTTTTTTTTTTCAAACACACACAAACTTTTTAGGGTTTTCAAACATGAAAAATCTTGAAAACGAAACCCACATGAAAAACATAATCGTAAACGTACAAAAAAACCTGACATCATTACAGGCCGCATTTTAGAAAAAAGGCTAAAACAGATTTCTTGAGGTACGGTATAGAGTTTTTGACTTGAATTGTTCCTGAACAGTCAAATAATGCTGCTAACGAAGCCTTGCCCATTCGTTTAAGACTATTCTCTAACAATACTTTGGTTTTTCCTATAGATATAGTCTTTTCAGATTTTCTCCAAGTTCCAGAAACCTTCAGCAAAATTATTCTCTTACAGGTATTTCTTCATGTTTTGTAGAAAATAGAAGATGATGAGCTATGAAAACTATAACACCTATATGATACAAGTTGACATTTAAAGCAATCAGTAGGCATCGATCGTACCAATTGGAGTTTCTTTTAGTGTATCGCTAGCGGTAGCGTTCAACGTGCGAATAAAAGTGATTCCCTTCTCGCCATGTAGCTCCCCTTCACTTGAATCCACTGACGCGTGAATCTGAAATATTGTAAAAGAGTGAACAAGTTTTCGAGTTTCCTATAAGCACTGCCTACAGTAACCACACTCCACAGTAGTCAAAAGACTTAAGAACTTAAGTATCTAGGGTCTAAGACCTAAAGTGCCCAAATACTTACTTCAACGATGTAAACGGAATTCGGAAAGAGTCCAGCGAGTTCTGATTGCGTGGTGTGACTTGGTACTATCACTGAGTGTCGATCACTGAAGGCACAGTGTTCTGTTTTAGAAAATTTTTTTATTGTTCGTAAAGTACTTCTCTCTCAAGAATTGCATTATGAAAAGAAAATTTAAGAAACATAAAAGGATGCGGAGGATGAAAAACAGCTGAGACACAATTACTTAATTTATAATAATAGCTAATTTTAACAGCTTTTATTGATCCCACGGATGTTCCCAAACACTTACCGTCCTTCGATTTCCCACACTTCTTCCGTCTCGTCCAAACTTCGTTTCTCGTGGGTGGTGAGTGTTGCGCGACGACGCATCATCTCCTCAAACGCGTTCGCTTCTGAGGCCGACGACACCGCCCATGAGAGCTGAGAGAGATATATAATGTTTTCCCACTTAAACAACAAAGACACTAGAATGTGTTAGTTTATAAAAAATTTTATCACCATGAGATTACCTTGCTTTTAACACTTTATTTGCTACCTTAAAACCAAGTAGAACAAATATGAGCAACTTTATGGCGACCTACAAAAGCTAAGAGAAAAGGTTCTATGAACACAGAAATTATGACACATCGCTCCAGTTCCACTAAAAATCGTCCTAAGTGTAGGGATATCTCAGTTTCTTTCAAAGCATTCAGTGCATGAAAGACCCTAGGAAAGTGAAAAGTTATTTGGAAAAAGAAGGAAGACATTCGGAAACTGTCCGATGGGATTTGAAAAATCGACACTCAAGACATGTAAGCCGATCTCTCCATTTCTTCTTGAAAGTCATATAAGAGAATGAGGTTGAAGGCTAAGAACCTCAGAAACAACTACTAAGCAAAATTCGAAAGCAGTTTAGGTGAAAAAAGCCCCAGCTGTCTTTCATATGCAAAACAGTTATTCTGTTTCGGCCGTTAAATTGTACAAAGAAGTTCATTTGAATTCGATTCATTCCGGCATTGTTAGTTACTATATTAAAATTACCGTAAGCTGCATACCTGGTAGCTCTTTATGGGCAAATCACTTGGCGGCGGAGTCCAGTGCACGACTTGATTCCATAGACCGATCGGTGTTAACTTTGAGGCACCGAGTGAAATATCGCGTGGTGGTGAGGGCGCCCGAGCTTCTACAATTTAAAAAGGCACTTTTAGAAGAAGATGTATGAGTTTTTCTAGATAAGTCAAAACGTTGCAATAACTATAATAAGCAGAAAGCTACTTTAAGAAGTGTAATAGACCACAGCACCTTTCTGACCACACCGGCTTTCTTTCGTTGTACAATCAACTCATCTACATTATTTGGATTTTTCTCTTAATCGAGAAAGGCAGTCATGTACTGCTCACTAACCCTTAGACAATTTGAACGGCTGTGATGCTTGACTAAATCCAAGACTGCCGTAAACACTGACGGCACCGACGCGGAACTGATAATAGCGACCGGGCGAAAGTAGGTGCTTCAGAATCGCGTACGGCTTGTTTCTCTGAAAGTAATAACATTTCGCTTCTCTTAAGGCAAAAAGTTAAATACGACGTCTTCTAATTGCTGATATCGCTGTTGAGTCCACCACAGTTTTCATTACGTGCGTAAAAACACTCAAGAAAATTCAAGCACAATTAAGTAAATGAGTGGTGGTGGGAACTAGTTCTGTTGTAACAACGTCAATAAATTCGTCTGAGTTCCTCAAACGAGCAGTGGAATCATGTAGGCAATAAGAGAAGTTTTATTAGTTGAGAGCGACAGTTTTCGAAGCTCTCTCTCTCCTATCTCCGACCTCTCAATACGGAAAGCCCAGTAGAAGTGAAAAATTGACAAACCACAGTAACGGTCTGCCATTCTGTCATACTGCTGCTATCCGGTTGTAGACCCCATCGCCACTGAACGACATACAGATTTGAATTGGCAGCGTTTTGTTCACGAGTCAGTTTCTGCATCACCCATCGTATAATAATTGATCTGAATAATAAGTAATAGTTTAATAAATACTTGGTTAAGCTTAAAGTATAAGTCTTATGGAGCTGATTCATCTCAATATGATGCGCTACTACAATATTATTAAGCTTTGGGATTTGCCAGAAAACATGGAATTGGTCGTATAAGAGATTTGCCGGTTAGCTGATGAACAATGCTCATGGAAATCAACCCCTATCAAGTAGCCGTTTACTTCGATCATATTATGAGATAGATTGGCCTAAATATGCAATCGAACTAACAACTATGAACGCTCAAGCGGTGTAAATCCTTTATAGTTATGCTTCGGGCTGCATGAATTAAAGGCGAACAGCTTTGTCAAATCTCACTAACAAAACTGAACCTTAAGTAAGACTTGACCTTGCCTATAGTTCGAGGTTTCTTGGAGGATTTTCCAAGCCTAAAAGCTCAAAGGAGCTCTACTAGCTCTTCCAAAACGATTCAAACTATCTTATACGATTCTTATCATCACCAAAATCAAGATAAAACAATGTGAATATTGATTTTGCTATAAAGGATTCAAATTCTGATTTTTCAGATGTTAATCTTGCCGAATCAGTACTTTCCCACTTCAATACTTACCGTTTACGTTTGCGTTCCTGCACGGAAATCGAACCAGGGACCGGTAGAAGTCGGGGATCTCGTCCTTTCGGAAGAACACACTGTCGACTACAACCATAAGAACAACATTTGCTGGTCTCCGGACAATCGCCGTCAAGATGACACAGTGCTGTACATTCCTAGAACGAAATTTTGAGAATGAAGAAAAACAAAGAAAAGTAGGAGTTTCTTTCCAAGAATTTCTTTCATTTGCTTCATAAGGCAGAACAGTGGCAGAGCTCATGAAACAAGAACACTTAGTGCGAAGTACTGAAGGTATTTCTACAGGAGCATCTTCATCTTCGCTTCATTTTGTGATTTCCAACGATTGCGCATGAAAATCAACAAGCCCGCCCAATCAATAAATCGATAACTGAGGGAACTCACGTAATTCGATTGGTTGTTAATTTTCGGGCAAGCACCGGGCTTCTCGGTGAAAATCCTCTGAAGGTAGTCGCATGACTTCTCGCATGAATCGTTATTCAATGTGCCCTTCAAAGAAAGATCTTCTGCGACTGTACAAATTATTAATCTAAATATTTCTCTTATCAATCACTGAGCATTACTTTTTCAATCCCCACAACGACGGATCTGTTCAGATCAATAACTTGCCTTACAAGTCGCTGCTTTACATCCATTGGTGTCCGTAAAAGTCTCTCGACACGGCTCTGTGCACTAAAACTCTCATTATAAGAAAGAAAAAGTGGAATAAACAAAAGAAATGAAAACGAAATAAAAGAAAGAACTCCTTCACGAAGCTTCTCAATCAAATACAAAGTTTAGCCGAAGACGACGACATGCAAACATTCACTTAACATACAAGTTTGAAACTGATGAGATTTTCAGCTCTGAAATGCTGTACCAGGCTGTTCTCAGCTCACGACTACAGGTCATTTATTGACTATCCTTGTGTATCAGATGAGAGTTCTCCACCCTTGAACTAGGTTTCTCTCAAAGCTCAGTTTTTTCCAGCAATGGTTTACCCTGAGCCGAAAATCAGGACGCAACTACTGAACGCCCTAAATGCCTTACCGAAAGGATGGATTCGTTGTACATCGCAGTTCTACTCATGGACAAATCCTGCTTTGATCAGGAATTAGACAAACAAGGAGGCAGTAACATCTTTTACTACTTTCATCATTATTACTATTTATCATTATTATTATTTTGAAAGTGGGCAGAAAAATTTTAAAGGCTAAATAGCTAATTGACAAGTTCCAGAACATCGCAGCCAATCGGCGCACCCATTTGCTTATCACTCGTTTTGCTATGTAATAAAAAATAAAGGATAAAGCTCCCGGCGTTGATCAACGACTGAGGAATGCGCCATGCATTCGACTTGATTAAGAATCGTTTGGAGGTGATTGAATGCATATGTGGCCTTTACAATAACTCGCGGTACCAATTTGCCGACCCCGGGTGATGGTAGGCTTGTGTGCCAGCGGCGCAGGGATCGATCCCAGGTGTCCCAGGTGTGCATTGCAAGGCGTCTCCAACCACTGGGCGACACGAGTCCTTATGTGTTTATATTGCTATGTAATATGTAGTAGTATTTCCATTGTCCTTACTTCTATTAACAAGACAGTTCACCGCTTAACCGATGTAACAGGGTGCTGCTGAATTGCTGCATTAAGGTGTAGGTCAGTAGGTGAATCACTGGGAATGATAATTCATATAGGCAACCAGAAGCATAAAGGTTAGCGATTTCCTATGATGATGATCTGAGGGCGTTTTGGAATCACCGAAACATTTATAACCAGTGACACATTATTAGTTGGATGGACATTGCGCTGCGGTCTATAGTATAAGTGAGAAAGAACCATTTAAGGATCTCAGCGCCAAAGTAGGGTACATAATCCACAGTGGTTAGAGGATCCTTATGATACACACACGTGGAAATTGGTTTCATCCAAGTGCTCTGCTTAGAAAGCTTTTTGTCCTCCACCCGCTTGGTTGTCAGCGATTGGTTTTCTGTCTGGAAAGATAAAAGCGCTGACTTGATACATGAATAGTCCACAGCTGGTTACTATAAAAGCGAAATACGAATTCGATCATATCTACGATGTTACGATGGAGCTGAATCCGTTGCACATCCCTGAAGGATTGATTAACTCCAGCTGTTTTCACGCTTACTCTTTAATTATCCAAACACTCAAGCATTTTCGTCAATCAATTAATCTTTCTGCCAAACTAACGAAGAGTGTGTCTATTTCTTTTTGAGAGCGAAGCGGGGTGATCTATGTGTTACAATTCTGACAACGACGATCCCTTAACGACATTGTCGGTCGATTTGTGTACGCTTTGGCGCTAGTGATTTTCATTAGTGCGTTTAGCTATGGTAATTGTTAATTGTGGGTGAGAAGGGCATTATGCGGTCATTGACGGCAACGACCCCGCTTCGGTTGTCGTCTAAACCACTTTAACGTCACCCAACCATAATTGACGCAAAACAAGAGACAAGAGTTCCCAGGCTCGACTCCCTACTCACATCGGCATCATGAGTCGTAAGGTTGTTATACAACATACGTTTAATTTCATACAAAAAACATACAACACAACAGTAGACGACGTTTCGGCAGTATCGCCTTCTTCTGAGACAAGGGTGCATCGCAATGTGACTCGTCGATCTGTCCAAATGATTGTTATATTCGTTACCCCCGCTCCTGTTGTCCTGTGATGTACACCAGAATGTTCATCTACCATCCTGGACGAATTAATACGATTAATGAAGATAGGTTGCCGTGTAAACGCCAGATGCACTTTCATTATCATTGACAATCGCTAATTTTTGTAATTTCGTCAGAAGTGAGTACACTGAAAAACTGTACCGTAACACGGTCTCAATACGCCCAGTTATTCGTCGGTAGTCAGCTAGAGCATTCGACGACAACCAATTCGCAACCAAAAAACTTGTTCTGGTTGATCGAATCAATCGTACTTATTCGAACAAAAATGATCAGGATGGGTGTAAGATGTATTCAATAGATGAAACAAATACGCCAGATGAGCAGAACACATCCACCGACTAGTATAACAGATAGACAGTCGTTTCCGGACTCGTATGACAAAATCGAATTGCCGAGTGTAATCAGAGCGATGATCCGCCCTACGTTGCTTGGCTTCGACGCCATTATTTCATCAGTGACTATCTTGATGACCGGGGGCGTGGATTCTGAACGGTCAAGTGGCTTTTACAGAATGGGTTCGACGACGGAAGGAAAAATTGATCCGCTGTAGTTGTCATCTGCTGTTTGATAGCAGTAGTGCTCATCCAGATGGCAGTACTCAAATAGCACAGCAAACAGATTAGGAAAGATATTCGACTAGCAGCTAATCGCCCACAAAAATCAAACACCTCATTCTATTACGATACAGTCTTTGTGTTTTATGGTGTCTCTTTAATCCAGAAAAAAACGCCTACTTCGATATGTGGAGAGATGGTTATGCTGCCCTCACCGCACTTTGCTTCATATTCTAAACAGGAATTTCTTTCGTCATCGAATTCCTTCAATAAAGTGCTGAAACCTTGGCAAAATAAATGTCATCGAAGAGAAATACCCATGAGCTGAATTACGAATGTCTTCCTCAAAAAGCAAGCGACTCGTGAACCTCTAAAAGGCTTCACTTAACTTCTCTACCGGCATGCGTGTGGTACATAGTGGAGGCTAGGAAGCGAACGAACTGCAGTTTTGCGAGACCTGCACGGCGTGCGAAGCGACGATTGCTATTTGTTACATTGTATTTTACTTACAGTTTTAAAAAAGAATAACCCCTGCTTAAAAATTTTAAGACGATAACTTGAAAATGACATATGCATCTGTGCAATATGTCGTCATCATGACCACATGGCACCGCACACGCACCATTACATCTCCTTATATCGCCTTTGATGTGACGAAAAGTCGCGATCAACAGCTAGATTTTATGTCAATTATACTTCTTATTGTCAGGACAATATTATGACACTTATAACCACGCATTGCTGAACGTCTGACCGACCGACCACCAGTGTCGGATTGTTCATTACCAATTCGGACATGCACCATGCGGCAGAAATCCCGTACCAGTTGTTTCCATCAGCGGAGCGACGTCAAGAACTAAATATTGTTAATAGCCTTTTTTCAAAAAAGCACTTTTTCCCAGATACTAGAACGGTCTTCTTCGAATGATTGAGAATTAATTGCGCACTACCTTACCCTTCCCCACACGTCTTATGTTAACCGTAAGGATGCTTTTTGTCAGTTTTTCGGCACACTACAGTACGACACGACTTGCGTCTCACATCTGGTTGAATTATCTGGACATCTGAGGTACCGCCATAAACGAAAGAAGACACACCAGTAAATGTTTTACTACTACATGTAAACGGCGTCTTAATCGTCGTGCGTCAAATGATTCAACAGCGCTGGCGGCGGCGGTAGCAACGGTTCTGATAGAACAATGAGTTGAGCAGATGTGCGTAATGACGTTGGTTAGGGTCGATTTCGTCGTAGGATGCTTCTGGTGGTGTTAACAACCTGAGAACCTTGGCGTTTCTCACGAAATCATCAAAAAATTAGTAACAAATGAAGCAAGCAACAATTGGAAAAGAAAAGAAGAAAGAACGAGACACAGAGTGAGGCTTGAAGAATGAATAACTCTTAACTGGAAGGACGAAAATCAAGATCGTTTACCGCGACAAAAGGCACAGCTTCGCCTAATAGCCTCATTTGTAACCTACTTTTTTCGATGTTATTTCTTCAGGACATATTTGTGACAGTGTAAGAGCAAGCAGTAAGATGTTGTTCATCAAGGTGTGGAATGAACCAAGCAGGTTATCAGTTTGTTAATCATTGGGCATAGGTGCATTTCATTGGTTTTCCTTTTATATGATCAAGAAAAGATCTTTCAGCTTAGCACTTGGTACAAGTGATCTGTTCCAGTAGCTGCCATCAAATATATTCCTTCACTTTTGGATCACGTCCGATTTCTTAAATCCTCCATTTATAACGGAGACCTCAAGAATCTCTTAGTCCGCTAGCATTGGTCTTTCCTTAATCAGCATCAAATATTATGGCATTATCGCCCTAGTGAACAATCGTCGACTTTTATATAGCATTTCCCTCTCGTTTTGCTATGATTGCTGATGGTTTGGATTTGATGAATTCACTCATTGTTCTCGGCAGTCTGGCCCTATTCGTTGAGATTTTCCGAGAGAAATGTGACTGGTTGACAAACGCGACCACACCATATGCTGCTCCACTTGATCACGTCGGACATCGCTCGCTTTCTTGTCGTCGGTCAGAATCATAAAAAACATAGATATTGATCGGCAGACACCAAAAAATATTTATGGTAGCATTTCGTTCAAATGGCATTCATTGAAACGTTTCATAGCCCAGCGCTTCCTAACCGATATCTATTCTAATGCTCTTGAAAGTTTCTTATTTTCCTTCATGAAAGGAAATTTCTTGGAAAATTTCCGGTCGGTGGTGCAACTTCCGTAGAGATTTTGAAAAAGACAAGTGGATATTTACTGAGCTATGGAATTTCCTATGACATCAAGAGCATTACTGCATTCCGCAGCACTGTAGGAACTACAAAGTCCTTATGTTCTTTTGAAAACTATTCAAATAATGATCCTGAAGATGCAGTAGTTTTTACAACTCATATAAAAAGTCAAATGGACAGCATTTCGAGCAGTATGGCAAAACAAGCGGCAAAACATGTTGGTGTTCATGTTTTCTTGTTGTTGGAATGAAGTTCAAGCGGTGCACGTGGAAAAACTGCGACAACACATCACCCCACTCTTTCGGGTGGCCAAGAAGGTCACTACGGGCCATATATCGGAGCCGATATTCTTGTTGTAGAGTCTATTCATCGTACGAAATTCTAATGGTTACTCACTTAGGCGTTCTGATTCCTTCATGTCACAATGTGCAGTGAAGCGTACGTTACTCCTCATCGGTGTTCCTAATGGGCAACCACCACCCCCACCAGGTAATTAGGACAGTGCGAACAAGTAACAGCAACGCAACTAGGAACTCTTCGCGAAGAATTTCAGTCGAAGAGCTACAGTTTTTATTTTTGTTTATCTTTTTCCCGCAATTCCTCTTTCACATCTACTCTGTGGATCCCAACACCTTTTGCATTCGATTTCTTCCATCACATTCACCATCCACTGAGGTCTTGAGACATTTTTCTGTGTGTGGGCTCGGCTATTGCTTGAGGTTTGTCGTCTCCTTTACGGATTTAATTTGAACACTAGTTGAATCGATTTTTCTTGGAGTACTGAGAAAGCCGTGCTAGAACGCTTCCAGTTGGACTACAGAGGTTTAACTCTTTCTTGAGAAATCTGGTAGCAATTTCGCGACCCCTGGAGACATGATAGTCTT